GTGTTGGGGTCGGTTGGAGGAGTCGAGTTGGTTGGCATGAAAATCAAGCCAGTCGAGGAATTGTTCTTTTGGTGATAGAGTCTGAAAAGTTGGCGTGGGTCGCCAGCGGTTGGGTGGTCGACGAATCACTGGTGTGAGTGGATATTTGGAGGTGTCAGTGTTGGTGTTGTCTGCCGTGGAGGCATCTGTATTGGGTCGCAGGTCGATTGGCTGTCTGGAGCGGCTGCGGGAAGGCGTGGGACTGTAAGAGTATGTGGATGTGGACGGCGAACGGTGTCGCCGGGAGGAGCTGTGATGTTTGGAGTGGTGGTGATGTCGGCGCCGGCGGCGGTGTCGATGGCGGCCGCTGCGGTGATGGTCGGATTTACGCCGGCTTTTTCCCGAAAGCATTGCGAAGGGTTCTTCCGGAAAATCCTTTGAACACTGACACTTCGACACTTACACTTCGACGCTCACACTTACACACACACACACACTGGAAGAGCGAAAGCGTCCAAGTGCGAAGTATGCCAGTGTCAAAGTATGCAAGTGTAAGTATGCAAGCATGATATGCAAGCGTGAGTATGCAAGCATGCAATGACTATGCAAGCATGCAATGAGTAGGCAAGTGTGAGTATGGAAAAAAAAACTAGCGCGGGAGATGTCCTAATGAAAAAACATTTCCCCACTTTATAAATTCTCTCTTAAAGGTGGAGGGCGGGACGAACAGCGTCAACCGAAAGTGCAACCCTCTGCGGAGATCGTGCGTGTCGAGTGCGCGAAATGCAGGCGAGAGTGCGATTTGTCCGGTCCGCGCGCAACCCTCTGCGGAGATCGTGCGTGTCGAGTGCGCGAAATGCAGGCGAGAGTGCGATTTGCCGGCTGCCCGCGCAACCCTCTGCGGAGATCGTGCGTGTCGAGTGCTCGAAATGCAGGCGAGAGGGCGATTTGGCGGCTGCCCGCGCAATAACCCTCTGCGTAGATCGTGCGTTTCGAGCGCGCGAAATGCACGCGAGAGTGCGATTTGCCGTGCGGAGATCGTGCGTGTCGAGTGCGCGAAATGCAGGCGAGACTGCGATTTGCCGGCTGCCCGCGCAACCCTCTGCGGAGATCGTGCGTGTCGAGGGCGCGAAATGCAGACGAGAGTGCGATTTGGTACGCAACTCTAGTACGCAGAGTAGCTGGGGAGCTGGAAGCGGAGAACTGGCGACGTGGTAGTGCGAGAGTGCGAGAGTAGTGCGCGGAGTAGCTGGGGAGCGGGAAGATGAGAACTGGCGAGTGGGTAGTACAACTTGAGGGCGTGGAGTATCTGGGGAGCTGGAAGATGAGCACTGGCGACTTTGTAGTACAACTGTAGTACGCGGAGCTGCTGGGGAGCTGGAAGCTGAGAACTGGTGACTTTGTAGTACAACTTTAGTACGCGGAGCAATCTGTGGAGCTGGAAGCTGAGAACTGGCGACTGCGTAGTACAACTTTAGTACGCGGAGTAGCTGTGGAGCTGGAAGATGAGAAGTGGCGACTTGGTAATACAACTTTAGTACGCAGAGTAGCTGGGGAGTGGGAAGATGAGAACTGATGAGTGGGTAGTAGCTGAGAACTCGCGACTTTGTAGTACAACTTTAGTACGAGGAGTAGCTGGGGAGCTGGAAGATGAGAGCTGGCGACTTGGTAGTACAAATTTAGTACGCAGAGCAGCCGGGGAGTGGGAAGAGGAGAACTGGCGACTTGGCAGTGCAACTTTAGTACGCAGAGTAGCTGGGGAGTGTGAAGATGAGAACTGGTGAGTGGGTAGTAGCTGCGAAGGGGCGACTTTACAGCACAACTGTAGTGCGCGGAGTAGCGGGGGAGCTGGAAGATGAGAAGTGGCGACTTGGTTCCGGTTCGTTTTTTTCCATGAGCTTTTCCTGGCGCTGTGCACGTTGCTTCTCCCCTTACCAGCAGCCCAAATGCTCACGACGATGAGCTGGGCTGTCACCGCTTGGCCGCCGGTGGGGGGTTTGGGAGGCCGCATCACACACAGACACCCACACACTCCCTCAACTTACACGAACACACACATACGCAGACTCGTTTCCACACGGACATAGACACACGCACAGAAACCCACACACTACCTCAACTCACTCGACTTCACACTTCTCACTGCACACTTACCGGATAACTCGCACTCTGACTTCCTACGTGATGAAAAATGCTTTCGGGCCACTCGTCGTCTAGCTTGATGGTGGCGGCGACTGCTGTGGGGTGGATGGGGGGATGGTGGTGCTGGTGAAGCGGTGTTGTCTGGTATGTCTGTCGTGGGTGCTGGAGCCAATGTAGCCAGTGGGGCCGATGCGATGGATGGTGATGGAGAAGGTTGTGATCCGGCGGTTGTGGTGGCAATGTTTGGAGCTGGAATGGTGGGATCCCGCGGTGCCGGTTGCTGGTGTAGTGGCGGAACTTGTGATGAGTCGCTGATGGCTAATTGGGGTTGTGATGGTGGTGGATGCAGAGGTTGTGTAACTGGGGGAAAGGCTGAATAAGGTTGCCAGACCCCTTTGGGGCATGTGCCACTGGGGTTCCGTGGGAGTGGCAGCTGGAAGTGCTTGCTGAGGTGCGGGAAGCGAGTGGATTGGTGCGGCGGTGGTGGGATCGGTAGGTGGTGGGTGGTGCAATTGTTGAACAAGGTAGGAGGGGGGAGGTGCGGGAAAGGTGGGTGGTGGTTGTGTGGGCTGTGGCTGAGGAGGGTGCACAAGCGTCCATGTGGAGGGATTGCCATAAGGCATTGTGGTTGTCGGTGCTGAGTGGAAAGATGTTGGAGTTGGAAGCGTCATAGGTGGTGGAGCTGGAAATGCTTGATGTTGTGGTACAGGGTATGTCGAGTGTTGTGGGTAAGGAAAGGCTGGTGCGGTGTGTGGCTGTGGCAGCGGCACTGTCGGTTGTGTTGGTGCAGTGGGTAGTGGTGGTGGTGTGGCATGTGGGTATGGCCAAGGATACTGCATGAGATGTTCGATGAAGGTTGTTGAAAAATCGTCACAGCTGTGTAGCAAAGTCGTCTCAATGGCGGCAGCGACAGCGCGGCGCGGCAGCGGAGACTGTAAGTGTTGTAATCTGTCATGGTGGAGATCGCAATGCTCGTGTTGAGGATGAGTGTACATTGTTGTAGAGCTGTGAGAGTTGTCTTGATGTGGAATGCAGTATGTATGTGGGGTATTGGTGTGTTCATGCATATCGAATTAAATTTGGAAGCTCAGGTCAGCTAGCTTGAGCTCTTCATGCGGAAAAGTCATGCAAAAATGCAAAACGGAATAGAAGTTCCCGTGGTAAGGCCCGGCGGCCGTTGTGGCAGTTAATTCCGTGATTGTGTCGGTGACTTCCAGTGGAGTTCCTGTGAAAAGTGGTGAGGTCCGTTAGTGCTTGCACGATGAGACAGCGCCCCAATGACGGGGATCACACTCAGCACCCGAGTGGGACGGCTGAGCGAAACACACTTCGACAATTGTATTCAGTTAACTCAGTTCCCCAAGGAAAGGAATGGCTCAACGGAAAGGTGCATGGGTCCGATCACTTGAAAAGTTAAACATTGTTGTCGCAAGGCGGCAGCAATCAAACCGGCGGCGCAGCTGCTGGGGAAAAGTAGGTTTGGGGGAAGTATCGTGAACCACCATGGAAACAAAACATGGAATTGGACAGCTTTCGCAGAAGTTGGTCGCAGGTACACACCAAAGCGTCCTTTGGTGCTTCCCCTGCCACATCCTAGCTTCGTTGGGCCAGGTTGGATGTGACAGGCCTGGCCCCCCTGCGAGTGAAACTTGGTGGAAAACTGGTGCAGGAGGTGGCGGTGGAAAACCCTTTGCCCAGGGGTGGACACACACACACACACCGTGAAAGGCGAGGTATTGCAAAGCAAGGGCTGAGTGGAACAGCTTGTGATCACATCTTTCAAAGCATCGTTGTGTAGCCACTAATGTTGAATGCATCTTTTTCTCTGACAGTGGCTCCTCGTCCTGTCACTACACCCTTCATGTCGGAAGACCTTCGTCCCCAGGCTGTGACACACACACACAGGCAGAATCATTTCCACAGGAGAAGAGCGACTTGTTGCCAAGACGGCCCATAGAGAAAGAAGAGCACAAACAACCACTGTTGTAAACAGTAAATCAAAGTGGATGGTAAGGGCAACGGCTTGAGAGAAGAGGCACGACCAGAGGAGAGAAAGGCAAGAACAAATTAAAATGGAGACCAGAGGCACGACCGTTTCGGCACGCTTGAGAAGAAGTCAACGTGGACATCCCCGGGACGCAACAATCGAAATGAACATGGGGCCCGGCCTGGCCTGCCAGTAAGATAACACCCGCAGAAGCATCACATGTACCATGCATGACATGAGATGAACACCATGGCACCAGTAAGTGTTTCGCTACTAGTAACAAGGGCATTGCTACTAGTAATAATTAGCTACTAGTAGCTTCTTGCTACTAGTAGTAGTGCCCTTGTTACTAGTAGCAGCGAACCTAGGAACACCTGCATGGTCAAGCTCTGGGTCTCTGAACTGCAAAGCTGTCGCCAACACGACTTGAATACTTGAAACAGGCCAAGTGGAGCCTGTGGACGACCATGTGCGCGCAGGTATGTGCAATGCAAGTCCGAATGGAATACCATATAAATTGACGGAAGCTTCACACAACCCCCTGGAGTCCCCTCCGAAATGATTTTGGTTCCCTGTGTGTTCACACACCAGCTCCCATAGTTGAAAGTGTGCAGTGTGTAGATTACATTCCAGTGACATGTGGCACGTGCAAGTGTGCAGTATGAATGTCTGGGCCAGTCCCAAGTGCAAATTATATAAGCGCAGCTATGTAGCAGGCGCGGGCTTTTCGTTACCGCACAAAAGGCCCGGCATGAAATGAGGGTAAAACTAGTATGCCAGGCACCACCATGAGGCTCGGACACGGCTGGGCATACTCCAGATGGAAGCACGCAAAAGTGCAGCCTTTGGCTTGTTGAAGAGGTGACAGCTGCCATCGCGACGGGTTTTGCAGGATATCTTTCTTCCAGAATGTGCTGATGCCAAAGAAGACCCGCCTGAGAAGGCCATGCCGTTGTGAGTTGTGCTGGACCTCTCACTTCATTTGCTTGCATACTTTCTCTGTGGAGAACTATGACGGTGCTGGTGCTTTCCTGTTTGGAGAGAATTAGCCTGGCTTCAAGCTTTGCAGCTTGACCAGGTTCCGCTTCTGCCTGTGGAGCATTGCCCACCGGAATGCCCTTGGCTCTTTGAGCGTGCCTTTCTTTATGGAGGCGCAGCCAAGTACCCAGTAGGCAAGCGAGGAAGATAAGGCTGAGTGATTGTACTCATTACCTGGCTGTGCACCTATTACTTGTATTGCGCTGAAGACTAACATGGACCCCGAAAACCACTGGCTTGTAGAGGAAAACAGTTTTTCAAGGTTCTGATCTCAGGGTCCGGGTGAGTTTTCGGGAGTGTCAAGGGTATGGCAGGCAAAGAAGACAAATCCCAACTGCAGCATTGGAGCTTTCAGATTTGCGTGCAGTGGCTTGGCAGGACCAGTCCACCTAGTTCTTTAGCTGTGGCGGTATAATTTTGGACTAGGACTTTTTGTGGTGTTTGTTGAAGAGGATTGGGTTTGAACATCGGGTTGTTGGTTGCCGACATACAGCTATACTGTAATATTTTATGCATGAATTGCATATATCACATTTTCAATACAACACAGAGACTGCGTGTCAGACATTTTAAACAGGCAATGACAACTTTTGAAACCACAGGATTTGCGCTCAGGTACAGTGGTGGTGGAACCAGCACCCTGACCTATCTCCATTCCTTAGGACTGGGGATGACACCGCTGTGGCAGTCATAACTCAGTGACCAGAGTCCTTTGCCAGGACCTTTGCTCCCAGAGTCCTTTCTCACTGGCTGGTCTCATGGGATGACGGAGACTCCACCTGCATCCATGCAACTTGTCAAGCGTTCCAGCATCATGGAGCATCTGGATTTCGAGACGGTTCGAGTGATCCGACAGGTTCGGAGCTCATCACATGGAGCTGTACACTCACAAGCCAGGAGTCCCACGTCTCGGTGTGTGGGGCACATAGCCTGGCGACATGCCAGTGCTTGAAGTTGATGTTTGGTGCTCCAGGTTTATCTTGACACCTGCAATCCTTGGCTTTGCCTTGGTGCTTGTTTCGACATTTGCATACATTTGCGCATTTGCGGCGGAAGAGATTCCGAGATGTGCAGGACTTTGGGGCACACGCTTTGCTGTATGGGCGCCGGGTGCGCATTCGGTCAGCCTGGTGGGTGATTTCAACTTTTGGGACAAACGGGCGCATCCCATGTGCTGCCGAGAGAAGTTCGGCGTTTGGGAGCTTTTCCTGCCCATGTGGGACCTTCGAGGCCAGGGCCTGCCAGGGCGGCGGCCACAGGGCATTAGCACAGGGCCGCCATACCGACCTGAAATTCCCTGGGCCTCGTCAGGTCAAAAGTATGCCTACAACATCGTGACCGGCGCTCTCGAGGAGGTCATTAAGGCGAGGCAGAGAAGGCATGAACAACGCAACTGTTAACAACAGTGTAAAGCCAGAGTCAGAGTAGCTGCGCAACTCAAGGACCGAAAGACTCTTTTGAGAGGAGTACCCATCCCAGCGGTCCCTACCCCTGAACTTCATACTTCACAGACTTGTCACACGCATCGCCAGCTCGTTGCACGCGGCTTCGCGGCTTCGTTGCTGGGGACGCGTCGACCCGAGACGCGAGGCTGATCCTTATGCCTTGGAGTTCGTCGACCCTGCTGAGGGGCACGATGCCAAGATTCCAGAGTGCGATGACTACAGTCGATCCGCTTGGCATGGCAACTACACCTGGACTGACCAGGTGGGGTCATTTGTTGAGGCTGTTGGGTGGGGAGTCAAAGAGAATTCACCCCGAAACCATGAAAACTACTTGACAGTTTTGTGCTAAATCATTGAACCATTTTGACTGAAGAATACTCATACTCAAGAGAGAGAAGAGTGACGCACACATACTTGGTGGTAGATCTGGCTTTTCCTACTCAAATGCTTCGAGTGAGTCATGAAAGTCACTCCTTCAAGGCAAGTTTCCCATAGTTTCCCATAGCCGAACTCCTTCACCTCTGAGGGCAAAGGATTTTCAGCCATTGCATTTAGCCAAACAATTGAATTCTGAGATGTTCTGAGTATGTGACCGTCACTATATCAAGTGTTGTAGTCCATGGCGACAGATTCACAGTGCAATATGCTATAGCGTAATTCGCATGAATCTCATTCGTCCAACTGGACTCAAGCCACGCCTTTCAATCAGTCCTTCCTTGCCTTCGTGACTTTCGTTGAAAGTGAGTCCGTGGGCTGTCATACTATCCTTTCACTGCTACCGGGAGTGTCAGTGCCAGGTCTGAAAAACCGCAAAGAATCTATATATGTACAACTAGATTGTCCGCCGTGCCTTGGGGAGAGACCTTGTCCAGCAAGGTATGGCTTGCTCAGCGGCTGGCCAAGTTTGGGGGTGAGATGTGGAGCTCGCAGCCTTTGTCAATCTATGAGGCACTCCGCAAAGACACTGTGTGACTTTTTGGAGATCGCAGATCAATCATATCAAAGATGTAGGCTCGCAGCCGGCCTGAAAGGAACAGCACCGTGAACCGTAGGTAGGTAGCAGAATCGTGTGGACCAGCTCAGTGGCATTCTCGGGTGAACATCATAAAGCCGTGCAACAACACGCATGGACGCTACGAACGTAGTTCCTGGCATTACTACTAGTAACAAGGTTCGCTACGAACGGAGCCAACGGGCATCGCGACTCGAACGGAGCGATCGGACGCCACCGTGCCGTGCAACGCGCCGACCTTCGGAGGTGCACTTGGGGAGCTGGGCGCCAAGCGCCACCAATTACCGCGACATTGCCCAACCACTGGTCCAGCACCTCAAGGCAGGTGGGTGGGTGTCACCTCCAACTCTTTCGGTTTGACGTGTCTTTTCAGATGTTTAGGAGTTTAACGGGGTGGTCACTGCCAGTCACCCGCAGCAAGGTGCATACCGCTGACCGCCGCATGGCGGTGCCGGTGGTAGTTTGTGTAAGTCCAGCGGCGCAGTTCGTTTTCTCGAAACTTCTTCTCGGCAGTGATGAGGAGCTCAACTTTACAGCTGTGGAGTTTCTTCCGGTAACACAGTGGCTTGGCCTGCTAAGACCCACTGTGACACTGTAGGCATATCCAAGATCTTGAACAATTCCTTTCAAGAATCTTGAACATATCCACGCTATTCCACGCTTGCGTGATTCCCGCATAGGGCCATACCATATTCTGGTGCTTGTTGTGTCCGTTGGCTGCCAGGTATCCCTGTGACCAGTCTTGGGGATACCAATGTGCTGCCGGACTCTATGCCGTTGATCGTCGCTTGGGCACTCCTGATGACTTCAGGTACTTGATTGACACGTTGCACCTCGGTTGCCTGTGGTGCCTCTGTGCCTGACTGCAGCAATTGAGCCAAAAGAGTCCTATTTCATCCTTGGTGCGGATGTGCAAAAGTAGGGATGGGGGCACTGTTGATCCCACCGAGGCACAACAATGGCATCGCAGTTTTTATGGACTTTGTGGGCGCACACTTTGCCAAGGACGAATGGGGCCTGGTGAACTATAGTGGTACGCCACAGTACGAGTATGAAGGTACTCTTGGAGAGATCCCCGGCTGGGGGACTGCTCGCTACAACTACTCCAAAGCAGAAGTCCAAGCTTACCTCCTGGGTTTCTTGACGACATGTTTTTGGTAGAATATTTTGTGGCAGGCATTATGCTTTTTGAGATGTTGATTTGGCCACTGCTTTGCATGGCTCATTGTCGTCAACCAGTCCGCGGTTCTGGTATGCCTCAACACCTCAAGGTGCAGCACACCATTGGATAGATCACTTCCACATTGATGGCTTGCGTGTGGATGCAGTGGCGGCCATGATCTACAAAAACTTTGGGCGTGAGGAAGATGGGGATGAAATCATGGCCGGCAAGGCTCATAAAGCGGGCTTGTTTGTAGCGTAAATAGCCAGAGAACCTATAGGTAAGCGCGAAGAGGTTGCAACTGTCGATTGCTTTCAATAGATCTTGAAGTTGCTTGATTTGCTTACACAACTTTGCTGTAGCTTTTCGGTTTGTGACCGTGGGAAAGTCAAAATTTCCTTGCATTCTTTATTGTATTTCTTTTCCTGTCCTTGGCTTTCTTCACTTCGACTGTTGAGGATTCCTGATCTGCCATTGCTTGCCAGGGCCGGTTGAATGAGGATGGCATTGCCTTGCTAAAACGCCTTTGCGTGGAAGTTCGAACCCGACACCCTGGGGTGCTGCTCTCTGCGGAGGAGTCCACAAATTTTAGGTGGGCTTCTCATCTAGATTAATTACATTTGACCACCCAACAACCTCCCTGCAGAATGGGCACCCATGGATTAGGCCCTTTTGCGGGGTTGCCGGACCTCTTCCGTACCAGCTCCTGCATTGCACGCGTGTGTGTCTGGGTAGTTGCCTCGATTTGTGCTTGACCTTCGCTCAGGTTACAGACCGTCCGGCCGAGAATGGTACGGAACGCCAGCGGGTGGCTTTGGCTGCTGAATCGTACGCGCATGCCATATGCCGTATGCATGTGGAAACCCCAGTTATACAAATGATTTATGTAATGGATAGGCCTCGTAAAGTGTGATGTGGTCAACCCCAAGAATCACAACCAACAGCCACAGTTCCCACGTTTTGGGAGATGGACCTGTTTTGGTCGCACTTCGCCAAATTGCTGAGGACGACTTCCGGGACTTAGGATTCCACATGAAGTGGAACATGGGCTTCACCTATGATGCGCTCTCCTACTTTGGTTCATCCTTCAAAGAACGAAGAAGCCTGGATACCTTTGGCTGGAAACGGCTGGCTTGGCGCCTTGTCTGAGCAGATGGCCGCACAAGGTTGTCCTCAACACAAGTGACACGTGACAAGACTGACTGATGCCTCACCATTGGTGTCAGAGGAGGGTTGAAGGTTCTTGGAATGCTTGTCGTGAGTTGAGTCTGATCTACCGTAGTTGATCGGTCGTCGTTGACCCATTTCACAGGTTCCTGAACTATGCCTACAACGAGAGGTGCTTCAGGGAGAGTCCAGTTTGACCTGTTGAGCTCTGCCTTGTCCAACGGTGTTTGCAGGTGGATCCTTCCTTTCTCGCACGACAATATGCAGCGAAAGAGCTTGGTGGACCAGATGGCCGAGGACAAGAATGCCGGCGAAGTTGGTGAGGACGTCAGATTTGCACAAATGCGTGTTCTGCTCCTGCATCTCTTCTGAAACCCTTTTGCATATTGCATGGTTTCATATGGTTTCATGGGGGACCCAAGGAACAGACTCGGGGTTTGGATTCACAAATGCAAGTCTGGATTGGCCCCAGACTTCTCCCAGGCCTTAGGCCATTGTGGTGATGTCACTTAGATATGTCCCCTGCCTATGGTGCCGCCTCTCCCGGCATCCAAGGTACACCATAGGCATGCTGGGACGGCCCTTGTTGTTCATGGGCGCTGAGATTGGCCACTTGGACACCGGCGGCCCCTGTGGCCCTCTCAAAGCAAAGCATGGAAACACTTCCTCTCTTTTCTCGAAGCAAGTCCTCAGAAATGGCACTTTCTACTGGTAAGTGTGGTACCAACAATTTGTGGTGCCTTGAGGTGAGTCTTGGTCGTGTGCGGAACCGATTGACTGGGACGCTGCAGCTCTCGATCCTCAGAAAAATCTGCAGCTTGACATTCGTGGGGCAAGTTTGCAGCAGATCGTTTTGTCTTACTTCTTTCCAAGCATTTAGCACTGGTTTCCTTGTGTTTCCGTGTTTGCTTGAACTGCTTCTCCAGATGCCTCACGGGTTGCAAGGTCAAGCAAAAACTAGGCAAACTAGGCATGTTTGTGCGCCAACAACGGGTGGTATTGCATGCCCGGCAGGTTGGTTTGAAAAGGTTCTCGGGTCATCGTTGGTTGTGGGTCAGCTGAGGTTACGGCGTTGGGTTGCCAAACTCTTGAAGTGGCTTGTCTCCTGAAGACTTTGAAGACAGGGTAACTGCGACATGTGTGGCAACTGTGGTGCGTGCTGCTTTTTGTTGCTAATTAATCCAGACCAAGAGTAATTATTGCAGACCTTAGCATTCCGGGATTCACTTGCGTGGCAATGTGAGGCTGTATCGAGACATTCCGTGCCTGCACCGTCAAGACGATAGAGCAGATGGATTCCATTGGTTGGACACTTTTTTCATTCAGCTTGCACTTGCAAGAAAGCTTCATTGGTTCCTCCAGTGAGTCCAAAAGCACGGGCGACACTGAAGGCGACAACCAGAGCTCCTGCAAACCTCATTGCGTAAAGCTGCGGGTAGAAGATGGCCAGAAGCACACATACTTCTTATTTTGCATGTTTTTTTTGTTTCCAGTGACCAGTGCTTTCAGGACAAAGATTCAGGCAGCCAGTGCGTGTATTGCTGGAAGCGGATGGCCAGGAATGAACTTCAGGCACCTGTGAGACTGATCCGTGAAGAGCGCTCTCAAAGCAACCGTGTGAGCTGCCGAACCCTTTGGATTAGAGATGGCTACAGTATGTTTTGTGTAAGGATTGCCACCTGTGACAAGACACCATCGTCAAAGTCATCAAAACAACAGTGGGTCTATATACAGTCTTCTGTTTGTCGTTGATTTCGGATGGCTAATAATCGTGTTAGATGGTTGCAAAGCATATTGCCGGTACGGTGTCATGTGGAGCGAACAGTGGGTCGCCAAATGAATGCGCTCCAAGCAATAGCCTGACTCTGAAGACCAGATCATACTATCATACATACGCCCCATCACCCCCCCGGTCAATCCTGGATGAGCAGGGGTCATAGTGTGCAAATGGTTGCCACCAACAAGCTGAATAAGACCATTCGTTTGAGACGCACACACACACACACAGATATATAAACATGTTTCAGGTCTGGCAGGCTT